AATCTATCTTAAACAAATTCTGTAAAGATTAAAGTGGATATACTGCCACTGAAGATACAATCACAGTAATAAGTAGGCAGAGGAATGTGTGCTTTTCCTATATGATTTATTACCAAATCTTTGACACAGAGGAAAAGCTCTCCCGAAGCAAGCATGGAAATTATTTTGGTATTGTTTCTTCTTGCTTCAGTGAAAATGCTGGCACAATCCTCAGATGGTGCTGGTTTTTTGGGTGCTTCCAGGTGTGCTTATCTAGAAGCCAGAGCTGAATATCCCAAAGGAACAGACCAAGAAGCCTATCTAGTCGGTCTGTCTTCAAACTATTTGCTAATCTTGCTAAAATATCTGAATTAATAATCTCTTTTCAAGTAGGCATGGATAAATCAACTTCTACAGGCCTTTGATTACTTAAAGTATGTTGTGGTCTTCCAAAAGGAAATTAATTTAGGTCATTGGTGTATTATTTGACCTCACGTAACTGTTCTGCCTTGTCCACAGAGAACAACAAAATATGTGTTTCCACGAGCAGATTTGTAAGGTAATGTTTGGCAAGCAGAGTGGTTCTTTCTAGCAGCACTTCTGCTGAAGTTAAGTGACAGACCATCCTCCTAACATTGTAGAACACCAAAAGCTTGATCTTCTCATGCAATAAAACACAAAATCATGAAAGTGTATGCAACAACCAAACCAAGTTATAAAATATGCAAAACACTTTCAAGCATGCAATGCCACCTCAGAAGGAACAACCATTTGGCTTCCACTGCACAAATGAAAGGAGAGAACAGTTCTTGGAGGGGCAATAAAAAGAGAGTGAGGTTTTTCCTTAGCTCTCAAACAAGCTTTTAGGGGGTCATAAAGGAGAGTGACATGTATTCATTTGCTGTGGTGTTAGCATACGGCGGATGAAATTCTTTCTTGAATTCTGCCTCCCCGTAGTTGGAGCAGCATTAAGATCCACTGTGACCTCTCCTTCTCCCTTTGCCTCTTTCCAGCCCATCTCATCAGGCTCCTGTCACTCCTTCCTTTTTCCCTGTCTCTTTCACAATCCCACCCACCATAGCTGTCCTCATTAATGGCAAGGCCAGGGATGTAAAATCTTTTTCTCTGCTCTGACACTTGCTTGAGTTGGGAGAAGAGGCACAAGGTAAGCCAATTCCCTACAGATCTCATCAGTGGCATAAGGGAGGCAACTCACCTGTCTGACTTGTCACCCGCACCTTATTTCATGGCAACAGGACCTTCAGAAACTCACATTACTCACCGTTGATAAAGGTTTATTAGTCTCATTCTGGCTGCCATCCAGAGTCAACTATACTGCATCAGAGCAGAAGGGTCTGTCCCTCCATGTGAATACTAGTATAGCTCACCTGGGAACTCACAACAGTAACTGGAGAGCACTGTGTAGCATATGGAGGAATTTTCTGAAGAAATTAAGTAAGTTGGGTTCACCAGACACTTCACTGAAGCTCAAAGCAATGCTTGCTTCACGGTCTTCACTGAAAGTGAAAAGTAAGCAATTTTCCCAGGGTTTTGGTTTCAGGATCAGAGCTCAAGGCAGCAAGCCCTAGATGCAAGTAATATAGTACACACCAGCTTGTGTGGATTGCTCTCAGTTGTAGTATAAATTACATTTCACCTGTATATATCCGAAATCTTACAGTGCACATATACCAATAAATGTGATGATTAATGACCAATAAATACTGACTGATGAGGCTTCTCAGAAAATCTTTTACCTTCAACAGCTTTCTAAAAACCTCAATACATGACTCTACATCTATAATTGTGCAACAATACTATATAGCTGTTTAATCCAAGAAATTACTTTCACCAAGTAATTGGTAAATGTTCACTTCCACTATTGCTCAGTCACACTTGTGCCTTGCTGGCACTGCTATAATCCTCTTCCACCTTGAACACCCTGAAACACCTGGCATTTGTTGATCTGCTTGTCCTTTCAGTCCAGTTTTGTGAAAAGCCCACAAACTTGCTTCCATAACCTCTTGGATAATCAGCATAGCCAGGCATTTTATGTTTTCTTAGGTTACTGACTTCTATTCAAGTATGTTTTCAGAAGTTTGTTTTTTTTTAAATTAGTGTTTTCATTATGCTTATCTAATACATTTTTTTATTTTTAAAAAATGTAATAAACCCATCCAATGGAGTCCATCATCACAGCAGAGGTAAATGACAACTGCAGAAAGCTGTGCATCTAAGCCTGTGTAATTCCAGTTTCAACCCACCATTAACCTCTTCTTGAAGTGGGGAACAAAAAGAAATGGTCAACAAACACAGTACTCTTACTAAGTCTACTAAAGTAAGTTATATAAACATAACTTTGCACATATTTCTATTTTTTTTAATATATTTACTTCCTTTTGTTTTTAAGATGTACTCGTATATTTACTTCCTATAGTTTTCTATGCAGACAAGATAAAGAAACTCATTTAAACAACTAGCAGGTACAGTGAAATTGATTAGGCACAAAATCAACTCGGGCATTCTGAAGACATTGTTTATTGTTAGCTCCAAGTTAAGCAAAATAAAAAATACAGCTGACTTCAACCTCTTCCATCAAAAATCAGCAAACGTTGTATACTATTTATCCAGTTATTGGCTAACAGGTTATTTTGTCAACATCAGTGAAAGAGAATAAATTTATTAGATTTGACATGATGGTACAAAGGTAGATGAGCTCTGGGAATGGCATATGGGACTTAGTTCTCTTCTGACTCAAAATATTGAAGAGGATGTTAACTGGGGATTTTTCTTTTTCTTTGATATCAGTTCTGAGCAAAGTGGACCTGATTCTGCAGGTCACTTTTGAATAAGAGATGGATTGGTAAAGCTTCATAGGCTAATCAGTCTATAAAAATATTCTATTTTATTCTTATGCACAGTTGCCTCAAGATTGAGAAGTTATACTAAAGAAGCTGGGTTTTTTCAAACTTTCCTTTCTTTGAGGGAGAGAAGTCAGAAGAAAATAATCTTTTCTTTCTTTTAAATGCTGTGATGGTTCAAAAGAGAAACAATGCCTGATTCTCTCTTGAAACTTCTTGCTATGGATATCGCACAAACAAAAATGTATTATTTCTAGCCTAGAAAATTAGAAGTACAAGAAAAGGTACTTGTGGAGAAGAGCCTTGGAAAGGAAAAACATTAACCAGATATGGCTTGACAAAGCCTTTGAATAAAAGGTCTTCTGTCAACAAATCTGAACTGCACTTATGGCCTTGTTAGAAACTGTGTCAGTTCAACGGGCAAAGGTATCAATCTTAACCCAAAATAATGTTATTTATTAATCCAAATGCAAGTCTCTATAGGATCGTTTACTTATTGATTTCTCAGTAAGTTACTCAAGAGTAATTTCTTGTTACTCTTACTACTTTCTCAATAACATGTCTGCAGCCAGCAACCTAAAAACTTCCTCCAGCATAGCAATGACTGAAACCATTAACCAGCCTTGAACTCATTTTTTTCCCTTCACCTTGTAAAGCTGAGAAAGATTAACAAAAGCAGCTATGGTAACAATCACAAACACAGTCACATGAGAATGTCTTTGATGTCCCAAGGCAGTCCTGAAGTCATGCCACTCACATATTTTTAGCTATTCTCCCTGATGAAATAGAATGGTCACTAGTACTTTATTGATCTCTTTCAACAAAATGTCATCAAACCATTATCACTAATGATGTTGCAAATACATGGAGTTAATCAGCAGATGTAAAGGCAATCAGTCAGGAATAGTCCATTCCCAGAGGGTCTGAAAGTGAGGATTTTTTTCCACTGGGCCAGAAATGAGGAATTATGAAAGTTGTACCAAACAAACAGTGAAGTCCATTTGATGTTCTAAAGTCTGTTCTGTGTTAAACTGGCACAGTGTGAGGTGCAGCTGTGAGGTACTGTGGCTAGACAACACAACTGGTTTTTAGAGACTGATATCTTTCTGATAAAATTAGAGGCAACTGCTATAAATATCTAGTATCCTCTCCTATGAGGAAAGACTGAAAGAATTGAGGCTGTTTATCCTGGAGAAGAGAAGGTTCCAGGGAGACATTACTGCAGCCTTTCAATATTTGTAGGGGGATCATTGTGAAAAATGAGGACAAACTTTTTAGCAGCACCTGTTGCTATAGAACAAGGGACAATGGCTTTAAACCAAAAGAGGGTTGTTTCAGGCTAGATATAAGGAAGAAATTGTTTACAAGGAGAGCTGTAAAATGATGGACCGGGTTACCCAGAGATGTGGTAGGTGCCCTATCCTCGGAAACATTCAAGATGAGGTCAAATAGGGCTCTGAGCAACTTGATCTAGTTTATGATGTTCCAGCTCATTGAAAGGTGGGTTGGACTAGAAGGCCTTTAAAGGTCTCTCTCACCCCAAAACCACTCTGTAATCCTAAAATTTTCACCTGGCAAAAACGAGGATATTTTTTTAAAAATTGTGAGTGCAAGGTTTCACTTCAGTCTTTAACTGTGATTACCAAGCCAAAAAAAAAAATTTCTTTTTTCTTTTAGAAAAAATACAACTCCTGTCTGACAAGAAACAGCATAAGCAATCAATTTATTTCAACCATGAAATTGTTCATTATTATACAGAGTATAATTGTAACACTGGATGGTCAACGTTGGTGCCTTTCTTCTTCTGTTTCAGGACAAAACACATTAATGTCAGGGACAGTAAATTAGGTATTAAATACAACTGGGTACTCACAAGTCATGACTACGTTCTTTCCATTCTCATTGCTGAAAGCTTATCAAGTTGTTGTTCCAATGCAGCAGGAAGAATTCATGAATGAATGCATCAATAAATGCTTCCTACTGCAGGGCTCACCACAAATTCTTTGTAATACTTCTAAGGAGTTTACAGGCCTTTATTAGTTACATAAAAATCCCAAAATCTGCTTTTCCTGAACATACACTTCCTCCATTTTTCATAATAACAAACCAGACAACTAAACATGAACATGAATCGGAGTCAATGACCCTGTGTGTACTTACCATGTACCACATGCTTGGCCACTTGGGATCATTGAAATAAGTGGATTGGGTACCACCAGGTTTATAATCCCTCTTTATCCTTCTTTTAACCACCTGCTGTTGTATCCACTCCACCTGCAAACCAGGAAAACATATGAAGAATGTTATGGTGCTGGAGATTATGAAGAAATGTGCAAAAATTAAGGATTGTTCTCATTACCACACTCCAAGGCATATTTCATATTAAAGAGTTCATTTTGGCAGTAGAAATTGTGCAGATCACCTTGACATACTGTTCACTAAGGAATACATTCAATTTAGCTAGTGTTACAAATCTATCTGAACAACTGCTTAAATACCCTGCTAGAAAGACTTCATTGGATATTACCTTTTAAATACTATTATCTTCTGATTTTTCTTTATCACGCTTACACTTCTTCTGAATTTATAAAAACTCATACAAAAAATCTAACAGCATATTACAATGAGGAATTAATTGAATTTCTAAAAGAGTCGGTCTGTTTTTATTTTTATCTTTCTCTTCCAGAAAACAAAAGCATTAAAAAATATATTCATAAGTTTTGCTTTTAGACCAATATGTAAATCACCTTCACCACTTGGAGAGAAAAAAAAAAACCCAACATTAAACTTTATTTTAAGTTAAGTGACTCCTTGTCAAGATTTTCTCAGAGAGGCACTCTGGAATTTTATTTTACACTAAGCACTCCTCTGTGAGAAATAGCTGAGCAACAGTTCTAATTAAAACAAACAAAAAAATTACCTTGAAACAGGAAAAGAAATACAAGGGTTAAAAATCTAATTCTGTAAGTTATCTTTGTCTGTCTGTCTGTCTTTTCATAGACTCACGATACATCCAAAGAAAGGTAACACCAAAAGTGACATCAACCTTAGAGCAGTGAGGACTCTGCAGCTATTTTTGTATTAGCTATTCTAAATGGGAGCTAGTTTCAATAAATGTATATAATATGAACTAAGAACAGAAAAAGCCCATGGTATATTCACACACATCTAGCAGCTTATACTTCTGATGAATTGTTTCAAGTGATATAACTATAAAAATTCAATTTATATCTCTCCAAGCAAGACAGCTGTCCTCTCCTAGCAGCCAACTCAGCATCTTTTATTTGTGCTGTTTGAATATCTGTGTATGCACATAAACATACAAATGTGTCAAAGAAGTTACTTTCAGGTCACATAATTGTTTGTCACTAGTCACAGACAGTATAATTATTTTCCTTTAGCAGGCTAATCTCTCTACTTGCATTTACAACACAACTTCAAATCCTTAGTACCATAGCACTCTGGCCTCTACTTCTTGGTCAGAAAAAAATGCAGAAAGACATCTCTGAATTTGTCCAGCGAGGATTCCTAGGACAGTCCTTATAGAGGATGCATGGTTTTCATGGTTTTCTTCATAAAGAAGAAATGAAATTTTCTCCTTCCCCAGAACTAACTTTAGGACCAAAAGTATTCTAGCGACCAAATTATGCAGTCTAAGAACATAGACTAGAAGGTCTGAAACTCGTCTGACACTGAAACTCGTTTCTCTGTTAAGTCTTTTAGGAACAATGGTTAGCAACTTTCTGGTTCTATGAGAGTGAAGAAATTTGACAGTGAGCCTTTCTCTATTGCTTACTGTCTCCTCTTCCAGGACAGTTTGAAATCCCCCATGACACAACAAGAGCTAACTGCTCCCTGACTGACTGGATCCAGGTGTTTTCTGCAGAAGGTGACAGCTAATCAGTCTCAGGACGTAACAAGTCTGGAGGCCTGTAGGATACACAAAGCATGTCTGGGCAAAGGCCAAAGAAAGTCAAGTAAAAAGACTTTTAAGCCTAATGGCTGCTTTAAACTGGGATCAACAAGCCTCTTAACTAACTCCTCCACGAGAAAGACTCATCTTTAACTGAATAATGAACCTTGTTGTCCTTACTTTTGCTGCTAATATATGCTTTCTTTCCCAGACCCTCACAACAGAAGCTTGCTATTCTTCAAAGCTTCTTTTTTCGCAGGTAGCCCATACTTACCAACACATCACAAAACAAGAAACTGGCATCCTATGTACTGTTTGGTTTCTGACTCCCCACCTGCCTGGACTGCCACAGACCATGGGCCTCACTTCTATTACCACTATTTACCAGTCATTAACTAAAAAGTTCAACAGGTCTGAAAAAGCAACCACGGCTTTCAGGGCTTATACAGATTCACTTTGGAAGTCTTATTATGAGATTTGGGTCTCAGTGCTAGAAACACTTTCAACTGACTGAGGGGTCTCAAGTTTCTTTGCTGCAAGAATATTCACTGTTATTTTGACTCACCCTTTGCTGAAGGGATTAAAAACATGAGTATGTTAACCCTGCTGAGAAAGTTTTAAGTCAACAATATTCAACACTTTCATAGGCCGAAACCAGACAGAGCACATCATCCCATGCTTGGCAACTTACTTGTATTTTGAGTCTGCAGGCAGGAATTAAACATGCCTACCACCAACACAATCTAAGGATTTTATAGTGTTGCAGAAGTGTCCACAAAGACAAACCAGTAAGACAGACTCAGCAGAAGATTAAACCTTCTGCCACTGCTACCTCTAGTTTAAATGCATGAACATTAATGAAAAAACTTGCCAACACTACTGCTGCCTAGAGGACCCATAAATCAGAGATCCAGGGCATCTAATTTGGCATTAGGGACTCCTGTGTGTCAAGGCTTCTATAGGAACTACAATTAGCAACTGTGAGGATTTTTTTGAAAAACACTTTTCTTTTGTTAATTGAGCAAAGGAAGTATAACATATTTCTGGAGCCTGCACAACACACAAATTTAAGCAGAACTTCAGGAACCTAATATAATTTCTATATGTATAAAATGAAAGGAGTTTTCTGACTAGACAAACTCTAAGCCAAACTCTTTACTCATTCACTGTAACATGTTGTCTCCATGGCTTACTTCCTAGTCAGCTACAAATACCTGCTATCAATGAAAAGACTTAAATTTAAAGGCAGACTGACACATGCATTGCTGCCTCAAAAAACAGCCCAATTAATTTTTTTCTCCATTTCCTTTATTTCAGACAATATTATGCAGATTATTATGAGCTATTTAGTCCAAGCAATCATAAACACTGCAGCACTAATACTGCAGTTTATTGGAATATATATAATTTGACATATAAAGAATTTTCAGTATATGTATATGCATGTGTTTGTACAAGACTTTTTATCAATTGAGTTAATCTGCAAGCCTGAAAAATAGTAGGTGGTTATATTTTAGTGAGATACAGGCAATTTTTTTTTGTATCTTATCTACCACCTTTTAACAAAAGACTCTCTGTTGCAGGGCATGCCCCTATTAAATGCTGGATGTTGCCCATAATTTCTATTTCCTCAGCTCCTAGCAAAATTAGGGAAAACATATGAAAGAGTAATTTTGCAGAATGGCTGTGAAGCTTGAATGGTCAGATTCAAACCCAGTAAAAGAAACATAACTTCTTCTCTTCCCAAAAGACCTAATGATAATTTTATGTATGTATAGAATTCCTCTAAATAAAATCGCTGTTTAATTTCATACAAATAAAGATACAAATAGGCAAATGGCACATTTGTCTTAAGTATGCATACGGGAAGATAGTGCAGGTAGCTCTCTAATGATGGAATGCAAGTGTCTAGGTGGAATAGACTAGACTCATATAGAATATTTCAGTTGTAAGAGAGCTACAGTGATCATCTAGTCCAAATGCCCAATCAATTCAGAGACTAACAAAAGTTACAACACACTATTGAGGGCCTTGATCAAATGTGTCTTTAATAAACACTGACAGACCTGGGGCATCAAGCACCTCTCTAGGAAGACTGATCTCTTTCACCAACTTCTTGGTAAAAAAAAAGCTTCCTGAAGTCCAGTGTGAACATCCCCTAATGCAACTCTGAACTATCCCCACATGCCCCATCACTGGATACCAGGAGAAAGAGATCAGCATCTCCCTTTCTCCATCCCTTCCTCAGGAAGCTGCAGAGGGCTATGAGATTGCTTCTCAGTCTCCTTTTCTTCAAACTAGACAAACGTGGTGTAAAACATTAGGACTCATTTACATTACTCACTGACTACATCAGTGAAAGGGGGAAGACAAACTGACCATTCAGTCAGTGCCCACTGCTACAAGGGAGACAATACAGGATGCTAGACAGAGTAACCTAAAACATCCGACATGCCTGATCACAGTCCTACTTATAGCTTTGCCTGGAAGGCGTTTAGCAAATCCCGTATGTTGAGATCTGCTGATTGTTTCTATTATGAGGTTATATTGATACAGCCTTTTAGAACTTAATTTAAACATGACTAGAAGACAATATACTCATCTGACAACTCAATGCGTACAATTTTGTTTACAGAAAATATAACCGCTACTTAAATGGAATAGTTTACTCTATACTACAGTAGATTCTACACTGTAGAATCACTAGGTTATATGAATGAAAACAAGGCCAAGACTCAGAAGTTAAATTAGTACGGTAACACTTATTACCTTTGAGTATTTTATGTGTATTCATTCACAAATTACTGTAGAATGACTGGTATATTTTGCATTTGTTTGATTGTGTATGAAAGGAGCTCAATCTTATAAAAATAATATTTCTGGAGTAATTAATTACACAGATTCTCATGTCTTGCCAGAAGGTGAGTCTGTGCAAACAATGAAGTTAATTTTAACACTTCCATAAAGTCACACTTACTGAGAGGTAACAAAATTTTCCCATTGACCTCAGCCTCATAAGTTCCATTTCTGAGTGTCTAGAAATCAAAGCCGCATGATTTTTAACATACAAACACTTTTGTAAAAGAGAATTTTTTCAAATATATCATGAGAGGGCCTGCTTGAATAAACATTTCAAAATTATCAAAAAATGTGTCAACTCCAATATGTGAAAATGCCATTACTATACAGCAGAAGTTACAGACAAGCTGAAGGTGTAATCCTTTCCATTTTGAGGAAAACATGCTTGGGGTGAAAAAAATTTTTCAACTCAGAAGTTATAAATTTCATACCAGAATATGTGATTTTTATTGCAAAATTCAATGTGAAGTTATGGGTCTGCAGTCTTTGAAAAATAGATCCT